ATAAAGGGCTCCATCTTTACTACTTTTGTAGTTGTGCATTTGTTGAACATTTAGCAACAAATGTGCTGTGTCAGTTTCTGCTCTGCTTCTGTAATAAGCAGCAAGAAAAATCAATGCTTGTTAGCGAGTGTTCACTGGCAAAGTTACTGAAATAAGATCCAAAATAATTAGTAATGTTGATGTAATATTGTAGTTCTTAAACCTTGTATATTGCACATTACTAACTCTGCTTATTTTTATATCAGGATTCCGAAGACATATATCACTTATTTCGAGCATCAATGGATCTTAGCACAAGTGCCAAGCCATATGACTGTGTAACTGCTTCATATTTGCTGAACTTTTTAATACATCGTAAAGAACTGCTTAATATTTGCCTGAAAGATCAGCCTGTTGTCCATAATTTTTTGAAAACGGAATATATCTCAGCGGGCACTGTGGAAATAAACACATTAGCTGGTAAGTTCTAAGGAAAAGATATTTTGAATTTGTATATTTAAAAACAGGAGGGTTCCTGGTTTCTTCCAGGCTGTTATCATGGCCTTATTTGAAGAAAGAAGTCTACCTGTTTTCTTTGGCAATTTGCTTAGGTTTAGGTATTGCATTTGTGTAAATTTGGCTAACAACTCTGCAAAGGCTGGAAGCCCTTGTAGGTCATCACTTGGTGCATCACACCATATCCCAGTGCTATGGAAAATGTGAGAGGAGTGAGGGTTACAGGAGCGCTCCACACTGGTGTCTCCTCCCAGGTCACAACTATGGACTTACAAAAGCCTGGCCCTGATTTTGCAACTGACAAGTTCTGTCCTGTCACCGTTCACATGATCCAGCCTGATGGGATCCCCACCCCAAATCTGTATTGGATAACCAAAATCTGCTCCCATTCTGCTGCTGCACCAGATGTAGCCAGTATGTCGCCCAGGCAATTGGCATACTGCAAAGTTGTCTTACTGGCAAACCTCTGACAGTCTTCTTAGTCAGCTTCTCAGAATGTGGGTAGGTACAACTCTTTCTTGAAGAGTATCAAGGTTTAGAAGTCTACAGCCCCCTTCTCTAGTCTCAGTCCAAAATTTACAAATCTTGGGAGCCCAGAAGCACCTACAGTCATATTTTGATTCCTACAATTTGTGGTCTGATTTTTCTTCAGTGGAGCCAGCACCAGCAGATGCTTTTGAAATCCTACTGAATTTGTTAGGTGCCTCTTGACTGCTACTCTACCTTTAAAAGATAGGCCTGGAAAAAGAGCTTGATCTCTGTCTTTTTATCTGCCTCAGATCTCAAGATTTTTCTCCCCCCATTCCACCCAGCCCCTGAACTTAAAGTAAGTCTCTTGAGTACATTCAGTTGAGGTTGAATTCCATTTTTCATTTTTGGTTTATAAGTTTGGGGTAAAACTTTAGAACTGGGTACTCACTTCAGTCCATACAGATGTCAGTAAGCAATCTGCTGCACAGAAATTAAGGGTAAATGTGGCCTTCATGTCATAGAATATTTTGAACTTTTTTTTGCTTAGTACTTTATAATTTTGTTCAGTATCACTTCTAGACCTCAATGATGTGTCTGTCTCTTCTCTCCCTCTTCCCTTGCTCTTCTTTTTGTTTCCCGCTTCCTTTCTTGCAGGAATTCTTTTTTTTTTCTTCAGGTCACTGTTAGCGTGCATATCCTTCCTGGAGGTGGCCTCAGAGACATTGCCTTAACAGTCAGGGCAGACCATAGTTATGTGACATTACCATCCTGACACAGGGGGCCGGTCATCTTCTTGTAGGCAGTGTCTTGTAACTGCTTAATTTCTATGGTAGAGGAATGAGGTTGCTTTTTCTTAAGCTTTCTGAAATGTATTTATTAGGGCTTTCCCTCTCTCTCTGAAACTTAAGCTGTGCTCATCTTGCATCCAGTAATGCCACGCATTAGCTTTGGCACTGTAACATGCTCTGAGTCAGCTACTTGTCTAGTTCCCTAGACTGGGAGGATTCTCTGGATCCTGGTTTTGAGACTGGGCAGTCTTCAGAAGGGCAACCTGTCCTTGTCCTCCGTGGTTAAGACTTGTACTATCTCAAGGTTTTTCAGCATTTGATGCACTGTGTAGGACATCCCCTTTCAAATGTGGAGTAAGTCTTTAAGCTGCATTTTCAGACTGTCCTTGCCACATAAAATTTCTGCATGTATGAGTATATATGTTTAGACACCTTATTAGCCCTTATAGCATAGTACTAGCAAGGACTTCACTGCAAATGGCCATGGCCCTAGGTGCTGGTGATACTACCTGGGTTAAAGAAAGATTGTGTCATCTTCTTAATCTCTCAGCCTGAACACTGGACGACTCTGAGAGAGAGACAGGCAAGGTTCTTTGGGGAGATGTGATATCTTTTATTAGATCAACTGAGTAGTTGGAAAAAAGTTCTTTGCAAGCATAGGGAGTCTCTGCTGTCCTGAGATCTCCAAGGAATGAAAGAAGCTAAAAGTGTGACATGATGTCAGTGAGAATTAAGTTAGGAAAACAAAAGGTAGAGAAGGGAAGGGAGGGGGGAAACAAGAGGGGAAATGCCATAGGTAAATAAAGGAGACACTACTGTACTTGAGTTCTCCAAGGTAGAAAAGAGGCAGTCTGTGAAAAAGTAAAGAGCTGGAAATTAGGAAGACAAAGGGTAGAAAAGGAGGGGAGGGGAGGAAGTGGGTGGGGGAAGAAAAGTAGAGAAGTGCCTTTCGCTTATAATTAATATCCTTATACACAGCAGAAAGGATTCCATAAGACATACTGATCCAGATAAGCAGACCATAGTATATAGCTGTTGGCAGGAAAGGACCCCTGAGTGATCTCCTATTTTTGCTATACAAGAGTATTTACTGAATCTCCACTCTGCACATCTGTCCATCCGCTCAGGCAGAGTATACCTGGTGGCTGGTCAGGCCCTACCATTTTGTATGATGGGCAGCATGTGTTTTCCTGCCAAGGAGAAATCGTGTTCTGTAATAGGACCTAAGCTTGTCCTCATGTCTCTGATGGGGCCATCACTCAAACTCACAGTAACAAGCCCTCTGTTCCACCTTTCCACAAAAACAGCCTTCCTGCCTGCACGGGGTTTTGTAGTCAAAAAAGTCCCATTAGGGATTCAGCCTAAGTTTCTAAGGCAGTTACTGAATTCCATTTCACCCAACAAATCAGTGTCCTGGTGTTCCTTTCCAGACCTCATTCTTTCTCAGCTGAGATGTCTCTATCTTCATTTGATGTGAAAAAGGCTCAGCCCATTCATCTGCACAGAATTAATTCTTTTAGAAAATCATCACAACTGTTCGTTTCTTTAGCTCAGAGATCGGAAGATATAGCTGTGTCAGCATGGAGACTGTCTCATGGGACAGTTTTAATGTAGGTTGTGTTATGATACTGCTGTGCAGAGCCACCCTCTGTGGTCCTTCCTTCTTCGTATCGGAGCCCAGACACCCCGATAGCATCCCAGCTCAGTGTTTCTATAACAGGGCAGCCACCTTGAGTTCAATATATCCTTTTACCACATGCTGAACAATCACAGGTTCCTTGGCAAATACTGTACTTTGTGGCCCTTCGGTCACTGTTAGTCTAGGGCATGGGTGTCAGACATGAGGCCTCTGGGCATGGATTGTCGGGCTCCTGGCAGACCAGGAAATTCAGTGGCGGGGCTAGTGGAGGCTGCAGAATCTGGGATACAGGGCCTGGTTGGACATGGCTGTTGGTGGGGGTGAGGGAGGGCTGTGCTAACACAGCACTTCAGTCTGCCATTGCTGCCTCTGCTGCCACTTACCCTGCCACTGCCTTTGCTGCTGTCAGGTCCAGGTCCGGCTCATGAAGAGCCGGCTCAGGGAATGGGACGAATTTGACATCTATGGTCTGGGGGACTCCAAGATTCATCTCTAGGGATGTGCTCATTCCCTTGGTGTCAGTAAAAGCGAGGATATGTCTATGGGGCATCATTGAAAGGAGAGAGAGAACTTCCTTGCTAGCAACTGGAGTTCTTAGAGATGTACCATTTATACATACATTTCATAGGCACACACAGTATAGGACTCTGCAATTGAGACGGAACTGGGGAGCAAAAAGTCCATACTTTCCTTTAGTCCCTTGATGTAGAGGAAGCAGAAGGGAGCCAGTGTTATGGATAATGCTAAAAGCAGAAATTCCTTGGGGATGCACAGTGAGGATGCTTATATGGACAGTACAGCTCAAAACTAGAGTTACTTGTAAATAAGCCCTCTTTTCCTACCCTTGACCTGTAGACTTAACACACAGTTTCTTACTTTCATTGCTAAGAAACCAAGTAGTTAATGTTTTTATTTAAAATTTGGCTTTGTAACTCTCATCCCAGTGAGATTAATGGTGATCCATCAGTTCATTTCTTTGAGGGCTCAAAGACACGATTGCGTTGATGTAAAATAGGAGCAAACACAAAATGTCAGCCCCTGCACCAATGTCACCTGGTAAAATCAGGTGTAGAGTTACTTCAGGAAAAAAGAAGTAAAAATATACTGGTGTGTAGATGTTTTGTGTGTCATGTGTTTGCAGTTGCCTGCAGGTAGCTGTTTGCTCAGTGCAAACAGACTATAGATGCTGCTCAGTCATGGTCATGGCAAGGTGCAGTAATTATAGCTACCCTGGGAAAACTGGTTGTCTTTCTGGTCCAGATCCCAGGGTAATTTACATTAGTACACAAAACGTATACCTGTGTTTAATGTGTTATGTGCACAGGCTCAGAGTCATTGTTTCAACTGGTCTGCAGCCTGGAGTGTGTGACACTGCATTGGTTACTCTGTTCACATTTGAATGTTTTTTGTTGCGAGGCCAGATTCTGAGCTGTGTTTTATGCACTTCACAAATGCGTAATACATGTTAGCCCCAGCCATGGACCTTACCTAACGCTTCTGTGGCACTTATCACCTGTGGTATCTAAACCCTTCAAGGCTTTTAATGTGTTTTTGATACTTTTGTCGAGTGTCGTGGGGGGCGAAGATGCTTTCCAGAGTAGTGTTTGGCTGTTACGTGCTGTAGCTAACAATAAGGCAGGAGTTAAGTGCCACTGAAAAAAATGGAAAGATTATTTAGGCAGTTGATTAGAGGTGCTGAAGGTTGAATATTTCACCTACATGTTTGTCATTCAGACTGTCATTTAAGGCCTAATTCTGCTTTTTAAAATGTGTAAGTTATTTCTGTTGACTTTGGTGTAAAGTGTATGAATACACCTGCATGTAGGATTTGGCCTGAGTCGTTACAAACCGACTAAGATTTTAAATTAACCCTGTTCAAATTGACCAGGCTATTATTGGGCATGGAGGGACTGAAAAATATGGATAATATTTTTTGGATAGAAACAGAAAATCAACATGAAGTAGAATGGCAGATTTGGTAAAATGCAAAACTTTGCTCTCTAAATGTCACGCATGCCAGTTTATCCTATATATATTTAAATCAGTCTTCCTTTTTTCTGTGTACCTTTTGTTTTCTCTAGTTGTCAGACTTCTGTTAGCAAAACTTGAGGGAGAAATATTCCAAGCTGAAAAGTCCCTGCTTCAAGCAGCAGCTTCTTTCCCATTGTATGGGAGAGTACATTGTATAACTGGAGCTTTGCAGCAGCTACCTTTAACGTAAGTAAAATATGCTAACTGAAGTCTGATTATGTGTAGTTAAGATGGTGTGGTGGAGCTGTTTACAAGAAAGTGAAAGCATGCCATGTAATTTATCATTGACTTAGTTTATAGTGCTGATTGTCTTCAACGATTCTTTATTATAGACCTATTCAATTTACTTCTTTCATGTGAGCTAAATTCATAATAGTTTTCAGTTTGTGGAGCAGTCAGTTTAAAAATGCAGCTGTCATAATTATTTAATTTTAAAACGTTTTTTAAATATAACATTTATATTCCTTGATTGTATTTTTTACAGTAACTTGACATTGATGACAGAGTGGAAGCAGATGGTGACAGATCTTATACTGATATCCTACAAACTCTCTACTGTGGTAGCTCCTGTTGTGCAGAGTTCATCACCTGAGGGTCTTATTCCAATGGACACAGATTCAGGTAAAATAAGTCCATTTTTAGCAATGATTTTGAGATTGCCATAATGTTAAGTAACGTAACTTTTGAAAGCTATAGTAAATCTGAGGTTATGAGCAGTATTTTAAATTGCTTAGCAAATTAGATTTCTGTCACATGTTTCTTAGTTAAAAAAATAGAATTTAGAATTCTTTAAAATGAGACGGTATTGTTTCAGCAAGTAGCTACAATTGGACCCAGTGCTGAGCTTTGTCTTGACTTGATATATCCTCTTCCCTTTGACAAATACTCTAATACTATCAAAATTGTCATAAAGGGATATGTGGTCTAAGAGACTCTACCCTGCAATGTGAATGTTTCCATTTTCTTTAAGGGGAAATTAGAGTAGGGTGTAAGTCCATCCCCCCAGATGCCAACACCCCACACCACCAAATATATTTTGCTATCAAATGTTTTTGATTTACTCATATATGTTTTTGCACCAAGCTTTTCAGTCAATGTCCTGGTAGGGAACTTCAAGCACTCTGAATTGTTTGTAGTATGTGGACCATATTCTACTCCAAGATAATCCTACTGATTTCTAACCAAGTTACTTTTGTGTATGGTGGATGTAACATTGTGTGTGTTAGTCACATGAGGTTAATACTGCACAGCAGCAGCGGCAAACAGTGACTGCTTCTATTTTAAATGTTTTTGGAGACTCACTCTTTTTTTCCTTTGGGTTCTGTTTCATTTAATACCAGAATCTTAAATTGCTATCTGACTTTGGATAAAGATTGTTTCCTTGCACTGTCCTATGTAGAAATCTGTTGGAGTATTAATACATATTAAAGGGTCAGAAGGAAACTTCCTTTTACTAATAAAGCCTGGTTTATTAGACTTGTTTGGGTTTTTTTCCTGCTAACACTTTTATTTAGCAGTGTACCCAGAAGTAGTTTTGTGCATGTGAAAGAAATGGAGAAAAGAGTTCTGAATAATTGGATTTAAATATTCCCTTATTTAATATTTAGAAATTGCGGACCGTTTGCAGATGATTCTGCATGAGATACAACCCCGTGATACAAATTATTATTTTACTCGAGCAAAAATTCTGAAAGAAAGTTGCAGAACAGATTTGGAAAAACTTGTGGATGGCAAGCCAGTTGATGTTTCTGAAGATATGAGAGGTAATTCAAATGCTCCTTTGCAGAATATTTACTTCAGAACATTTTATAATTTAAGTGCTTATTACAGTTGGAAGTTATTTGCTATGTGTAATATTTAACTTATAATGACAGTTCTGTCAGAAGCTTGTTGTTCACACATGTGATTTTAAAAGCTGATTTACATGCAGTTAATTTTTCCTAGTCCACAAGTGAAAAGGAGTCATTTGGTATTAGTATAGACTCTGTTTTGCATATACTAGCCAGGTGATCTTAAATACCTTTGAATCAAGTTAACCTTATAATATGTTTCTTGCTGCAAAGTGGTTGTATGGCTTCCAATCCAGTGTTATGTAAAACTTTTGAGGTATTTTTTTAATGTGAAAAAAAATTTAGTAAAAGCCAGTTCACTAAGTGAACAGTAAGCAGCCTCAGCTTGGAGTCAATTGATAACATTTTAGGGGATGTTGTGAGTCAGTATTGTGTTGTAGCATTTGCCTGCAGTAGCAAAAGATAGTTGCAGATAAAAATGCAATTATCCTGTGTTGCTGATCAAATGGTAAGTTAGTATGTTCATTAAAGGAAACTTCTGTTTAGTGTCCAGTTTCAAACTTACAAGATGACCTACAGATTTAAAAAAAAATTGTGAACTTTATTGGCTCACTTATCTCTAGTTTAAATCGTATGTTTGGGCCCATGCTTTTTATTTCGTGTAGATGGGCCTGTAAATACAGTGTTCTGAATTCTCAATGTAGCTCATTTGATGGCCGCTAGGTGAGGCTGTTGCATCATCATCAGTTCATGCTTGTGAATGATCCCAGCATTTTTGAAGTCTTGGTTAAAAACAAATAAGATGTGGTGAATGACATTTCTCTAAGTGATATTTGAACTAATTCCAAAACAAAGTAAAATGTTTTCCTTTAATCCTGAGGTTTCAGTTATTTGTGAAACTTTATTAACAATTGCTTCTCAGTTGTTATTAGTAATTTATTGTCAGTTGCTTCATTGACCAAAGCAGTGGACTTCTGCTCTTTGAAACATCATACTTGTTCCTTTAGAAAATTGTATATTGTTGGGCTTGTGAAGCAGAATAATATACTACAGGTGTCTTCAAGATGGAAGTAGTTAGACTAAAGAAGAATAAGTGCATCTTGTTTAGCCTGAGAATTTGGTTTAAAATATTGTGGATATGGAAATGATTTTTATAAAAAAAAAAAAA